TAATTATATGTATTTAGTTTCAAGAATCTTAATAAAGTACTAGCGTAACTGCTTAAGGTTAAAAAAAAAAAAATAAATAAAAAAATAAACAGATAAGATTTATTATGAAACTTGTGTGTTTTTATCATAATAATTGTGACTTATGAGTCTGTAATTCCAAAACTTTGAACTTTTTGTTATGCAAGTGACAGAAGTTCAAAGTTACCTTTTTAATTTTTTTGATAATGAATAAATTAAAAACATAACTTTTGCATGATGTATAAATTTGTAAATATTAAAACTAAATTATATTATTGGCTTTGTGTATAATTCGTAGACTAATAATTAATATAAATTGTATTCTAGTTTTTACAACCCTATATAAATACTACTTAAAACTTAAACTTGCTATTTCATAGAATCAATAAGCTTATTTCTTTATCCAACAGCCTCTTGATGCTATAGAAGAATAAAATGAGTTCAAAATTATTAATGAAAATTTTTTTGTACTAAATATTATAAGAGAGTTATTAATTATAGAACAATGCTAAATCATAGTGTTTATATTTTTCTAAGCTATCTTTAGTTCATACTTTATATGATGACTCAAGTGCAGAGTTTTGTAAAAAAAAAAACTAAGATTAAGTTCATGTAACATATTTTATATTAAATTGTAATAGTATAATAAAAAGAGGTGACAATGCCTCTAATTTTACTAAGATTTAAGAGTACATTATGTGGCAAATAGTCAAGTGTGTGCTAAGTTAAGCTTGCTCTATAATATTTTTAAAACTTAAAAAAGATTTATAATAAAAACTTGAGTTTAAATTAATTATTTTGTGTATATAAATATTTGCAAATACTAGTTTTAAAAAAATATTCAATACTGCTTTCTTGCTTTTAGTATTAGTATTAAATATTTCAACATCTAAAAAAATGTATTTAAGTTTCTTATTGATTCTGCTAATTTGAATATAACATGAAACTTTAACAAAATTCTATATAAGAAATTCTGTAATGAGATACAGAAAGTGGTCAAAGATTTATCTAAGAATGTATTATATGAGATGCTATACTAGAGGTTTAATCTGGTCAAAAGATAAAAATCCAATCCATAACAAATAATTTATAAGGATATGAATGTGCAAAATAATATAAAAAATATGATTTGATTTATATGATCTAATCTTACCTTAATTTAATATAATACAATTAATGCTTTTTAACAATCTAATTTTTTTTAAGAGATAAATTTAAATCAATTCAAAATTTTATTACTATCAATTAATTTTTTGTACCTAAATTTGTTAAAAAATCCCTTCTGATGTTATTAAATTACCCAAGTTTAATTTGAGTGAGAACATCCAGCTCATTATAAAATATTTTTGTATTTTTATTTTATTTAATTATGATTATAATACAAAAAAAAAATATTTTTAATGCAGGAACTAATTTATGCACTATTAATTCTGGATATTCTTAATACAAATTATACAAATTATGCAACAGAATCTATCAAGACATCATTTAACTAGCTGCTAGCATAAAAAATGTCAAAGGATAATGGTATCTAGTAGCTTTTCAACCTATTGAAAGTATAGATGAAAACTGATTGAACTGAATCCAAAGCCTAATATTTTCATACCATAATTATATTTTGTTTAAAATATACATCTTAATGTTTAAATGATTTATTTTAATTTTTTTTAGATTATACTTTAATCTAAAAGAGAAATGGACACATCTCTAATTTAGATTATTCTATTTCCATAATATTTTTAATCCTTACATGATGAATTTTACAATAGCTGACTATTCTTTAGCCAACTATTATGAATTTCATGCATTTAGTAAGCATTTTTTAATAGGCTAAAACTTTAAAATAACTCAGTATATCAATATCAATTTAAGATATCAATCTTAATGTTAAACATAATAACTGAAAAATTGACATCTGTAATAGCTTAGACTAGAAAAGTCATAAAAATCATTACTTAAATAAATTACAATAAAAATATCAATATTTGGCTAATATGTTGTAGAAGAGGAAGTTAATAGAAACTCACCAGATCTTTTTTACTGAAATAGTTTTGCAACTTTAAACAAAAATTAAAGAACAAGAATATATCTAAATTTAATAATTTTTTTAAAACAAATTCTATAAGATTTTAGAATTAATTTAAAAAAAATTATTAAATTTGGTTAAGTCTTTGCTAAGTTATTTTTGTTTAAAGTTTCAAAAAATTTTACTTAAAAAAAATCTGTTTCATTTCTATTGACTTACTTTTATATATATATAGTGTCTGAGTACTTCTCAGATTGCATACTTTAAAAGCAAATTTATGTTAATTCTAAATAACTAAAAATATTAAATAGATTTTAGAACCTATAGTTGCAATCAAATGTTGCTGAAATTTTTTACCAGAATTATATAAATTATTTAAGTTAGCCAGCCCAAATTATTCTTTAGATTCTTTTATTCTTATGCAAACTTTGGATATTTATCTTTATAGAAGATATAAATTTACATTTCTTTATTAATATTCTTTATAGTATTTACTTTTAAGATTTGTTTAATTAAATTTGTTTATTAGTTTCTTTTATATTATATTTTGTAAAGCTTTTTTTAGCTAGCTCAAATTGATTATTAAAAAAAATAAATATATACTATATACAAATAAAATTTAATAATATTAGTATTAGTAATTATCACTTAACTGAAATTCAATACATTACCTTTAAAGGATACACTACATTATAATTTTAAGAGATAAAAGCTATTGTTTTATAACTTAAACATGTTACTTACAAATTATAATTTATTTTTTAGATAAATTGGATTTATAAATACATGAACTAGAAAAAATTAATAACTTAATTTTTGTAGTTCATTACTTAATGAATTTAAAGTTATTTAAATAAATTTTAAGCAGACTTTTACTATTAAATTATTTAAAAAAACTAGAATTAGTTGAGTAATAATATGCATAAGTATTCAGCTTGCTTTGCAAATAAGAATTATGTTAAATAATTGAAGACCATTACTTTTTTAAAAAGTTTAATTTCCAATTAGCTTAGAGCTGGAATCCATAAATTAGGATATGAATAATCAAAATTTATGTAAAAAATGCCATAATTCCTATTTATAATTTTTACTATTATTAAGTTTGTAATGTTTTATGAAACAACTATTAAATTAAAAGTTTTTTTTAGCAGAGCACTAGTTTATATATTTTTTTAATTAAATGTTATGCTATAGTACAATTAAGATTTTATATTATTGGTAATTTCTACTAAGTCAAAATTTTTTCATTTCTTATATTCAAAAAATTAGAAAAATCTTATCTAATAATTCTTTAATGAGGAATTTGTATTTTATTTCTGTTACATTATGAAAGAAATTTGCTTTTAACTTTAATTCAACTATTTCCTCAAGTGTGATATTTGTTACTCAAAGAAAATGACATAATCTCCAACAACTAGTCTACTTTTTTAACATTGTACATAAATCTATATTCCAAAATTTGTTCATTTATGATTTAATATTTTTACTCTTCTAAGTATTAGTATGTTTTGCCAATGATGTGTCTTTAACTGTTCTTGATAGCAAATTTTTAGCATAATGAAAAATATGTTAGTTAATAAAATAAACTAATTTTAACATTTTATAATTCTGAATTCTGATTAATCTTTCATAATTATTGAAACATAAATTCCAAATTGCTAAGTATTTGGTGCAGCCTTAAATATCTTTTATTATCTTTGAAAACTGTTTAAGCTCCAATAATGCTTCTGAGAAATCTTATTAAAATATTAGTTGATATATTGAGAAAACATTTCAAATATTTTTCCTGAATCATGAGATGCAAAATATACTGTTATTTTTTTGATTTTTCTTGCTTCCTTTAATGAATCTATATATTCTAATTGCATAATTAAAAATTGTAAGTTGATAGTTTTAACAAATGAACTCATCTAATTGCAACCTGTTATACATTTATTTGTAACAACTTATTTAGTGCAGCCAATAACAATTTATGTAACCAAACTCTAACTCTAACTACAGTTGCTATAAATATATTTATTCCTAAAAAATTGATGTTATAAAATATAAATTACTTGATATTTTTGATTTGGGATACTTGCTGTTCTTCATCTGTTCTACTTGTTGTTTTTTAAGAAATTATCAATTAATAAGTTATGAAAAAAATTAAAATCTTATGTTTTAAGTTATAAAGAAAGCTAAATTTTTTTTTTTGCCTAACTTACCACTTAGTTGTGGCTCTTTGCTTAGAACCTTTGTGTACAATAATGTTGATTCATACTCTAATCATAATATATGATATCAATTTATAATTTTATATAGATGTGCAGGTTAAAAATATATTAATTCTTACCATCAAATTCAGTTTCAGATGAAGAATGTTGCATTTATTCCTTTTTTTTAATATTTTTTGGTAAATCTAGATGCACTTTTTTCTTATATTTTTATAAACTATTCGAAGAACTTTTCTGCTTTTTACTATATCTCACTATCTTTTAACCAAAAAAATATTTAGTTTATAGTAACCAGTATATTTTTTTTATTTATTTTGCTAGATTTTGAATAAATATATATTTTAGATATATCAAAATTTCTTCAAGTTTTTTACCATCTTCATAATCATTAATTGGCTTCATGATATCATTGTTTTGCTTTAGAATTGTGATAAAGTGATGCTTTTTTGAAATTAGCTTTGTAATTTAATTTTTGTTTTGGTAGATTCATTGAATTTTAGTTATAAAATCCTAACTTATAAGCATCTAATTGTGGTTGAATTGCTGTAGTACCTTCAATTTTATCTATTTGGTTTTGAAAGATAAGAAAACAAGTTTATATCAATAATAATATCAATATATAGTTTTTAAAATCTTAAAATCACTAAATTAAAATTTTACTGACTATCATTCACCACTTCATCATCTGTAGATTCTGTATCTTCTACATATTTTACTAATAAATTTATATAATACTTTTGAGTTTGTTTTAATATAGAATAATAAAAACAGCTTATTTACTATTATAATCTATTAATAGTTTATGTTTTCTACTATTTGATTTTTTAATTTTTCTCACATTGTCACTTGAACTTAAATCATCTGATTGTGTCTTATGTTTCGATTTCATTAAGCATCTTATGCAGTATCAGTTTCTGGCTAGTATTCTTGCAAGTGTAGTTTTAAATACCTGGTATGAAAGCCTTTACTACAATATCTATTGCATAGGAGAATATGATTTTAATCTCCTTTCTATTTACATACAGAACAACCACAAAGGTCACAAAATGCTTTTTAGGTCTATAGTATTCTTCACATTCTGACTATCCTGATGAATTATTATCACTACTGTTATTATCACTAATATTTTTTTTTAAGATTAAATTCTTTGTTAATGTTAATAGTTTGTGTAGTTAAAAATTTACATTATTAGAATTAATAAATTTACATAAATATCAATTAGTGCATTTTTAAGAATAAGACTTAGATTAGTATAACAGTTAATTTCAGTTGATCTAATCTCTAAAATTAAATATTATTCAACTGAAAAAATATTACTCACTTGATCTTTCTTAGTAATTTTGAAGATCTTATTTATCATTTGTCTTTGGTTTGTTGAATTCTCTTTGGACTAATGTTTTTTCCAATTTCTTTAGTAACTAAATTTAATTTATTATTTTTATTAAATTGTAAGAACAATTTATTATCTTGATTACTCTAGTTTTTATTTTACAGATGTTGAAATATTAAATGACTACTAAAATCTCTTTTATCATCATATATTCTATATTTAGATCTTTTTTTTTTTAGTGTCACTCATATCAGTGCATATACATACTGGTACATCATTAATTATAAAACCAGCATGTTTATTTATTATCTTGCTAAAAATGTCTTCTTTAATAAGAATCACTCTTGGTGCTTCCAAATTTAGAGTAGTATTAATTCCATTATCTAAGATGGTTTCTAAGCATAACTAACTATTAAAAGTAATAGTAACAACTTTTTTTTCAGTTGCTTTCCAAATTAGGTTGATCAAATTTTTTATAATTTCTTTACTTTCTACAATTTTGATCATTATTTTTTAATAACACAGTAGCCAAGAATGTTTGAAAAAAGTAATATGTCAAAAGCTTGAAATTCTTGTTATAATTTTCTCTAAATTGCTTATATTAATATATAAAAATCTTATTATAAATTTATGTATACATATTCATCAAAAATTTAATAACATTGATACATAAAAATGAACTCTCAAGTTATATTAATTCAAATCATATTTGTGATAACATGCTGTAGTTTGACAAATTATACTAATTATATTTTCAAATTAAAAGAATAGAAAAAACATAACAATGACAATAATTATAAAAAAATAAAAAACTAGCAAAAGCATTAGAATTTAAATTGAGATTTAATCATGTGAAAGACAATAAGATTGACAAGCCAAGTAAGTTTATATTGATATTACATTGCCTGAAGTAAAGTATAGCATTATGATTCAAATTATAATATGTAGTAATGTAGTAATTATTTATTACAAAAGTAGTATTTGAAATTATATTTACTACATTATAAACTTTATTTTTTAGATTTATTATACTATTATTTTAGTTAATGTAATAATAAAAAGAAATTGTAATATATAGTTAAACATTATTTGAGTGCTGCAAAGCAAAAAATGTCAAATTAATAGCAGATAATTATTAATTATATAATTACAATTCTAAAGGAGCTAAGCTTACTGAAGTAAAAACTATATAGTAATTATTATACATATTTGTTTGAAAAAGAATCATTATTTTGCTAAGCTCCTATTCTCTAATATTAAAAAAATCAGAAATTAACTACACAATATTTCCAGTTACAACTAATCAATTGACAATTTGTAACACTAACCTATAAAAATAAAATAATATTATAATCAAATACACATGTTTTACATTGTTATCTTATAACTCTGAAGGACAATTATTTACAATCTAAAGGCACTGCAACTAATCAATTAATTCTTTAATCGATTAGTTGGTGTTTAAAAAATTTGGGCAATTAGTTTTTAACTAATTAACTAATTGATTAATTTCAATTTTGATTTGTATTACTAACTTTTGTCAAATGAAAACAATATATTATATTGGTTATTAAAAATAGTGAATAATTAAAAAAAACATTTTCAAAAATTTGTTTTAGCTAGATAAAGAATTAAATGAATAATGTATTATCATTATGTAAATTAAATTTAAGCAGTCCAATAATAAAATATGATTACATATTAATTTATAAGCTGATCCCCTTGTTCATTGACACCTCAAATTACCAATAGCTGAATTAAGCAAACAATTGTTTTGCTTTTCAGTAAGGTGTTCATTAAAAAAAAAACTGTAATATAAGACTCAAAAATGCAAAAAAAAAAAAATTATGAATATGAATATGTATATCAAAATTAGCTACTTTGAAATAACATTAGTGTTAACTGATATATTAATGATAACTTTAATAATAATAATAAATTTTCAATATGTAAAAAATTTTTTAAAAAAAATGAAAAATGCAAAAAAAATGCATTATATGATAATACAAGTAACTTTAGGTCAGTAAGAAATTTAGTTTAAGTTTAACTTTATATAAGATGGTTTTATAGTCATTAATAGAGATGTGATCTGAATATCTATTATTTACTATACAGAAACTTGAATATTTTAATGCGCAGTAACTATATAGAAACTATATAGTAACTATATAGTTACTATTAAGTTTAATAGTAACTATATAGTAACTATATAGTTACTATTAAGTTTAATAGTAACTATATAGTTACAATACAGTTACTACACAGTTACTGCACATTAAGAAATCCAAGTTTCTGTAAAGTAGTTTTATAATAAATTTATTATAAAGAATCCAGATATCTGGATATCTATTAAACTTTAATAAAAAACAGATAACAAATTGCATCTTTAGTAATTAGATATTAAACTTACTAAATTTTAATATGGTTAGATATTAAATTTATTATAAAATATACTATATGCTTTAAGTTACAAAAGCTTCTATGAAATTATATACTATATATGTGAATGTAAAACTATTTTATATACACATCAAAGTTATCAGTAAACTGCTATGCTTTGAACAATAATAATTATATAAAGGTGTACTAGACAAGAGATAATACTGTAGCTAATACAAATATTAGTTTAATAATAAGGTTGCATATAGACTTTTCTGAATGATTATTTTGAAACTAGGAAAATATAAACACTATGATAAGCTAATTTGGTACAAGAAAAGTTATATCAAACAATATTCTATAATTTTGAACTCATTTTATTCTCTGATGGCATCTTGATGCTATCAAAGAATGAACTAAGTTTAAGTTGTACTAACTTAATGTTAATAAATTGAATTATTTTGGTCATAATTTAATGGATTTGGGCTCAGGCTAATTTTTAGGTTAAGTACAACATGAATTATAAAAAACCATAAAAATTAATTTTGTTTAAATGTTTGCATGAATTAAAAATTGATCATTATTTTATTTTATTTATTTTTTATTTATTTTTATTGAGTTATATTCTTACTAACTTAGTAGAAACTATAAAAACATTAAAACAAAAAAAACAATATATATTTACCAAAAAAAGTAAATATAAAAACTGTTAATTATGTATATTAATTAAGGCCAGGACTTCTCTAGTTCTAAAAGATTGGATGCTTAACAAGAGTGTTTAGACATATAGGCCATCTAACCAAATAGAGCTTAATGCTAAGTATGATAAAATTATCAAGTTAAAAACAAATATGTTAAAAAAAATTATAATATACTTTTTAATCTGTGTTTAACATTTGATTTATACTTTTTACAAGTATTATCAAAATATAAAATACAACTTTATTTATTATCCAATCTTTTTGTCTATATGTAATTATTGCTTAAATTTTAATTAAGATTTACTATATTATATGTCACATACTACTTAAAAAAAAGTAGTAATAATTATGTAATTATGATTTTTAGAAAAAAATGTTTAAAGGAAAAAATCATTTTAAGTAAAAACAACTTATAAAACTTTTTTATAAACTTGAAATATTTCATACTTCTCAGCTAAAAAATTTGATTTATTTTCAATATAAATTGATATATTTCTAACAGTTTTTCATATACAATAAATAAAAGATTATTCCAACAATAACATTTATTATTTTGATCAAAATTATCCTTTATAGCCAAACTATTATTAAAGACTGGACCTATATATGAATTATTATAAATAGCAAGTGTTTTTTTAATTGAATAACTTATAATAGAACTTTGAATAGTTCTATTTTTCCATAAAAAAATAAAGCTATCATTGCGAAGTCATTATTAATTGAGATGATTATAAATTTAAGGGTAGAGTCTGATGTAGATCATTTGTCATATGATTTGCATGTCTGATTAAAATTTTTATAAAAAATTGAAAGATGTTA